GTAACAACACTGTACCTTAACATTTGAAGTGTTTGAAAAACTGTCTGTCTTCTTAAGAAAACAATGAACGTGGTGGTAATATTTTCTATATGACATTTCAAGCACAAAAGTTACAGGATTCTTCCTGAAAAGTACATTTGAATGTGGACGGAATCGAACTTTCTGATCAGATGTTTTCGTAAAGACCATCTCTCTTGATTTTCAATTCATTCGCGTAAAGCTACAGATGTTAGGAGGCAGTTAGTCAGCAGCAACCACCGCCAACTCTTGGGGCACTGTAATCGAATAGTGGGATTTGACCGTCACGCTTATAACACATCCACGGATCTAAAGTGTAAAGCGCTATACTACAGCAAAGAGATTCGAACCATGGACCATTTGATACATAGTCCGGCACGCTAAGCACTAGGCCAAACCCTGCCCTTATTTGTAATTAAAGACGGTTTTCTTCGTCCGCCACTGAAGGTAGACGGAGTTTATGTTTGTTTGTGTGTTGTCAACAAGATTTCTCAAAAACGGCCTAATGGATTTGGACAAAAGTTGTTATACATTTGGACTATGATCCAATGTAGAAGTGATTAGTTTTTGAAAGGTCAAGATCACAGCAAGGTCACGATAATCCAAAACATCCCTAGCTGTTAATATAGGTGCCGATTTTTTCACGCTATTTTTGCTCTATAACTCAGTCAAAAACGATCGGAATTTGATAAAACTTGGTGGACATATGTAGAATGTTATTCCTCATTATCCTCCCAAAAAATGGTCCGAGTGGCTCGACGGTAAGTCAGTGGGTTTCTAACGCTAAAACTCAGGTTTCGATACCCGCTGGGGACCAGAGCACAGTTAGCCCACTGTATAGCCTTGCGCTTTACAACAAACAAACAAAAAGTTTCTTGTAAATGACCTGGTGGTTAGGGCACTCGACTCGCAATCGCCCTTTCAGACGTGGAGGCGTTATAATGCAACGGTCAATCCCATTATTCGTTGATAAAAAAATATCCCAACAATCGGTGGTAGGTGATGTTCACTAGCTCCCTTCCTTCTAGTCTTTCACTGTTAAACTAGGGACGGCTAGCGCAGATAGCCCTCTTGTAGCTTTGCGCGAAATTCAAAACAAACCAAACAGTATATCTAGTTGCATGGATTACCTGTTCATGTTTAACCAATCTAATTACGACCAATAGAAAGACGACAATCTAATTACGACCAATAGAAAGGCAACAATCTGATTACGACCAATAGAAAGGCGACAATCTAATTACGACCAATAGAAAGGCAACAATCTAATTACGATGGCCCGGCATGGCCAGGTGGTTAAGGCACTCGACTCGCAATCTGAGGGTCGCGGGTTCGGAAT